AGGCTTATGAATACCTCTAAATATCATTCGAAACGTTTACGCTAAGCTAAAATATGAAATATGACAAGTTTGTCCTAAGCCTAAGTTAATACATTATATATATGTTATTAGTGGTGAATAATGCTAAACAATTCCTGATAATGTTACATATTGGTACTAGTAATAAAGGCCTAGAATGGCCTGATGGTTAGGATGCTCGACTCGAAATTTGTGAGTTGCGGGATCGAAACCCTTCATCGAACATATCGTTCTTTTAGACGTGGGGGTACTATAATGTGACAGTCAATCTCACTAAAGCGTAGCCCAAACGTTGGCGGTGGAAGTTGTTGACTAGCTACCTTCCCTCTAATCTATCACTTCAACATTAGGAACAAATAGAAAATATATATAGCCTTCGAGTAGCTTTAGTCAAAAATCAACAAACAAATAAATAATTATTTTGCTTAGCAAAAAAATATAAATACATATATCATTAAACTTTATGTATACGATACCACTGCGGTAACAACTTCCAGCGAAAGGCATTCTGGGAAGTAACCTGATCTAAAGGCTATTTTTACTCAACTTTGGTGTTAAATCCTTTATAGACAGACAAACAAAAAGTGATGAAACATTACCTCCGACAGCCAGTTTTTTCACAGGTCTTTTTATCATTTTTATTTCTATCTTGTAGAGATTACACGCTTCGTCAACCAAGAAACTTAGCGTCATGAACTGAAAATTGTTCACATGAACATAGAGCCATTTTTAAAAATGGGTGTTCGGTAACTGATTTTTTAATAAATTATATTATAAAAAATGCTTCATATTTAAGTCCCTGTTAAAAAAAAAGATAGCCTTCTAAAGCACTAGCGTTTACTTAAAGCTTAACTGAAGAAACGTGATTTAATGACAATTTAATAACTCATGATGTATTCAACCATCGTTATTTGTCATTGAATATCATAGTAACTTGAGTTTTTAATAACTCATGATGTATTCAACCATCGTTATTTGTCATTGAATATCATAGTAACTTGAGTTTTTAATAACTCATGATGTACCAACCATCGTTATTTGTCATTGAATATCATAGTAACTTGAGTTTTTAATAACTCATGATGTACTCAACCATCGTTATTTGTCATTGAATATCATAGTAACTTTAGTTTTAATAACTCATGATGTACACAACTATCGTTATTTACCCTTGACGATTAAATTTAACGTAAATGAAGTTTTTAATGACTCAAATATACTCAACCATCGTTATCTCACCTTGTCGATTAGATTTTGGTTGAGTACATCTTGAGGTTATTAAAACTTAATTTACTTTCCCAGTTATTCATCATGTTAGGGTAACTTGTCACTGATTTAGGATGTCTCGACTGGCCCAGCTATTCATCATGTTAGGGTAACCTGTCACTGATTTAGGATGTATCGATAGGCCCAATTATTCATCATGTTGGGATAACTTGTCACTGATTTAGGATGTCTCGACTGGCCCAGTTATTCATCATGTTAGGGTAACCTATCACTGATTTAGGACATATCAATTTGCTTACTTATAATGAGCAGAAATGTTACGCCATATTGGATGTAACCGAGGTCCTGTGTCATTATTTAATAAATTACTTTTATGCTTAGCTATCTCAATAACTTAATATTTCCTTGGCGATAAAAAAAATTGTTCCTGTAGAATTTTTGCTGGTTACCGTAGAATAGAGTGATCAATTTGAATAACACGTTAAGCCACATCTGATTGGACGTATCCCTTCCTCCCTCCCTTATTTCTAACTTGCCTCCCCCCCCCCCCCAGTGTTTAAACGGCAGGTCTGAAGTATTGTAAGTCTTAAAGCCGTATTTCAATACTCGTGGTGGGCTCAACACAGATAGCCCATTGTGTAGCAAACAAACAAAATAATATTCCAAACATTCAACGGCTCTTTTAATCACCAAATAAATATTTTACATCCGAGGAAACCATTATTAGATATTTTAAACTGTACTCTCTAATTTTTCAAAGAAATTCAATTGATTTAAACACGTGTTTAAATCAACGAGACATGCTAACCTAACTGATAAGCATTTGGCTAAGTTACAAGTAGAACCTTCTCTATTAGATACAATATGGCAAAAAGGCTAATAATTAAAAACGCCCCCCCCCCCCAGTAGCACAGTGTAGCTTTGTGCTTAACTACAAACAGCAACATTAAAGAAAAAACACAAACCCAAAACTTAACTTTACAAGTTCTGTCATTTCTTGGGCTATATTTACACTGCCCAATTATTTGAATTCCTCTTCTATCTGGTGGCCTTCAATATTTGTTTTATCCATGTCATCACTTTTGGAATTGATGTTAAACCTAATACTGATCGAAATATCATTAAATCGACTTGGTTTAAATGTAATATGATTTTGTGTATGAGATGTCAGCCATAGTTCGACTACGTTGTCTGGACGTTCAAGACTCGTGTTTATCTTCCATTGTAGTTGTCTGGACGTTCAAGATTCGTATTTATCTTCCATTGTAGTTGTCTGGACGTTCAAGATTCGTATTTATCTTCCATTAAATTCCTTTTATTGATTCCTTTGAAGATAGTTTAGTAGGGGTTAGTATTCCCGGCTGTGGATCCGAGTGGATCGACGAAAAAAAAAAAAAAGCTCCAGACTTTGTAGTCGCGGGCGCGTTATAAGAGTGACGGTCAAATCCCACTATACGATTAGAGTAGCCCACCAAATTCAACAAACTGTCTTGCTTGTCCCCGATGAAGCCGTAGTGGCGAAACGTTGGCTTCAATGAAAACACCAATGCTTTTTCGGAGTAACAGGTCGTGTTTTTAAACAATGAATACGACTTTAAAGTCTATAAACTACTGGTAGCTGTAGGCAACACGATCGATTTTTTGTAAAACACAGCTAACAATATCGCTATCTAATCAATATAAGGAATTTGTTTGCTGAATTTGTTTTCTAACATCTGGTTAGAACAATATATTAGATTAACTATTTAGTTCCGATCCATTCAGATAAATAGATTGCTTCGGTCAGGAGTTATTATTTTTCGCGTAGGAAGACATTTCAGAAATTCGTACAACAGCTACAACAAACACACACGTTTCTAGCTTAACTCAGCAGAATAGCATTTTCACTAAAGCTCAGATTTACTTATGATTTTGTTTTCACTCGATGTTTTAAAGCAAAAAAAAAAGAAGAAAAATTGAATTTTGTTTCGTATTTCAACGTGATTACTTAATAGAGGGAAGGCAACCAGTCAAAAGCACCCTAACATCCACCATTCACGCTAATGGATTGACTGCCACTCTTATTACGCACCTCAGCTTTAAGTGCAAGGAATATTTTGTGGTATGGCACACATTCGAATCCGTGATAAAAAACAAACAAAAGACAGGCCACATTGGTCAAATAAATCATTACGTAAGAAATACATTTATGAACCACTTATAGTCTGTTAATCCTGTTGTAGAAACGCAAAAAAAATCTCTCTAGGCGGACTTGAAGTTAAATGACTTTAAAACTTTACTTTAGTTAACCCTAATGGTCAAAGGCAGATAACGATGGTTGAGTACATCTTGAGGCTATTAAAACTTAATTTACTTTAAATCTAATCGTCAAGGAGGGATAACGATGGTTGAGTACATCTTGAGGTTATTAAAACTTAATTTACTTTAAATCTAATCGACAAGGTGAGATAACGATGGTTGAGTATATCTTGATTTATTACAAACTCAATTTACTTTCACTAACCCTAATTGTCAAGGGCAAGTAACGATCCAGTCGAGACATCCTAAATCAGTGACAGATTACACTAACATGATGAATAGCTGGGCCAGTCGAGACATCCTAAATCAGTGACAAGTTACCCTAACATGATGAATAACTGGGCCAGTCGAGACATGTCCACCACTTTTTATTTTTGTGCATGCGTTTAGTTTATTTTTTAAATATTTATTTTGTGTTTGTAGTTTAAATAAAACATGTTTATGTTTTCTTATAACAATCTGATGTGTTTATGTACCATCTATTACGAATGACAGCCAATTTCAAAATCCGTGTACACCGTATCAAATAACTTATTGAGGAAGTGCATAAAGCATCAGTTCTCTGCAGTTCCAGTTATCGGTAATAGTAGCAAATAAAGAGGGAAATATGTTTGTGTAATTAACATGAAACTTCACCTGTAAACATTAAGAGACAGCGACGATGTCGGAGAAATTACAGACAAGCAACTAATACGATGAGACAAGTAGTAATTAAGTCTACCGATGATCTGCAATACAGCACAAACTTCGTTCATATAATGTTGCCTCCAAACAAAAAAGGGTAATTATTTCGATATAACATAGGTTAACATAACTAATTTCCAGTAATTAATAGAATAATAGCCCGTAACAAAAATAGTGCTTAAAGATATCAGTTGATTTATGTAACGTCCAATAGTAAATTACTTGAAATCAATTTATATTTTTTACGGCTTTGTTTCAACATTTTACGTTGAATTTTCATCGTTTTAAAGTCAGTTGTCAGTGAAATGCCTGGGGCGTGTTAACGTCATTAAATGATTACATTCCAAATCAGCGTTTAACTTATTTTATTTCAAAATGTCACGTGCCAGGAGTTTATTGTAGATGTTTAAACAGCAGTAGTTTAAACTGCCTTTGTTTTGAAATACTATCAGAATTTGTAGAGCATAATGGGTGAATTTAATCACAAGGTTTGGCCTTTATTCTCCAGATAATAATAACAAAATAACTTTTCATTTCCGCCAACGTTTCGCCATTGCTGCTTCAACAGAGCTGTACTTAAGTCGATTTAAAAGAGCATTTTCAGGTTCTTGTAAAGACTAGTATACAATCATTTGATGTGTATGTGAGTAAATTCTTCATTAAAATTTTGTATTCTAAAATCATATATATATCTTATGTTCTGCCAAAACAATGTGATATTTAGTGTTATTACGCGCAAAAAATGTAATATTTAGTGTTATTACGCGCAAAAATGTAATATTCACTAGAGGCTATAACATATAATAATACGATATCTTTTTTCCATTGTTCAGTAGGCGATGGAGATAAAGGAAGAAAACAAACTCCCCAATTCTGGAATTCCAGAGTGCGCTGGTTGTCAGAAAGTTATTCGAGAGAGATATCTATTAAAGGCTCTGGACCAGTTCTGGCACGAGGACTGTCTCAAGTGTACCTGTTGTGACTGTAGACTTGGAGAGGTGGGCTCCACTCTCTTCACCAAGGCCAATCTCATCCTCTGTAAGAGAGATTATCTCAGGTTAGAAAGTCTACAAAGATGGAACATTTGTTCTTAGGCTTAATAACGCCTCTTATCGGAAACTAGTAAATATGATAACTATAGGGGTTTATTTAAAAAAAAACATTTGAAGTTATCGACGTGAATAAAATGATCTTTGAAAAATGTAAAACTTCAGTTAATTATCTATTAATTAATTTGGTGAATAAGTTGCTTTATAAAACAGAACTCGTCTTTCTTTGGTTAAATACCCTACACCATTATGTTTCAACAATTAGGGTTAAAATACTTTGTTTTACGTGTAGGATGTTAAGTACTTAATCTAGTGTAGAACTGGTGTTATACAATAAACTTTAAACAGTTGTGGTAAGATATAACCTTTCTTATGCTTAGTAGCCCATATGATCACCTACTATAAGTTATCAATTAGTTTACTAATTAGGCCCTGGATCGAATCCCGGCTCCTGCCACCCATACAGTCTTTCTCAGGACAGATTAACAGTAGGATATAAACTAATTGGAGACACTGGATCAAATCCTGGATCCTGCTACCACGCACTTTTCAGAACTTCATTGAATATAGTAGCAGATTAGCAGCCGAAACGTACAATATGAACTAGTTGGTAATTACTATATAATAAAAATACTTAGTACCTAATGAGTGATTAGGCTTAGTGATTAGGCTACTGATCATGACAACAACTAGAATAAGAATAATTCCAATCTAATGTCTCAATCTAACTGAATTATCCAGATTTAAATTTATAAATATTACACCTTCTCCTTAAACAGCACATTTTTGCAACCGTGCTACGAGACATGCAAAGCCAGTTAAAATAAGTTACATCATGCGGTCTTACAACGTAAACATTTAGGGTTGGATTCCCCGCGATGGACACAGCTGATAGCCCAGTATGGCTTTGTTTTAAAAAAACAAACAAACACATCCTCCGTGTTATTACGTTCATGCATTTTGTCAATAAAAAATAAAGGAGGGATTATTTCTTTTATTTAACTAACGAGTTTGCGAGTGTTGAAAACCAAATACTGTATGGCAAGTGACTCTGTAAATACCAACTTTAGCAGGAAATGAAGGTTATGGCAAGCGACTCTGTAAGCACCAACTTTAGCAGGAAATGAAGGTTATGGCAAGCGACTCTGTAAGCACCAACTTTAGCAGGAAATGAAGGTTATGGCAAGCGACTCTGTAAATACCAACTTTAGCAGGAAATGAAGGTTATGGCAAGCGACTCTGTAAATACCAACTTTAGGAGGAAATGAAGGTTATGGCAAGTGACTCTGTAAACACCAACTTTAGCAGGAAATGAAATTAACTATTGATCGTGTAAGAGAAAATGAGAACATTACAGAAATCGTTTCCAACGCACACTGAAATAATGACTTTTTCTGTTGCCCGCTAATAAGTAAGTCTACTCATAATCTATAATACAGCACAAATCTTGTTGATATAAACACTGAAATAATGACTTTTTCAACAACTGTTTTTCAAATAACTTAGTATTTTCAGTTGTTGCGATCCGTGTGCATTTTTCTGTTAATTAACACGGTAAAATTATACTTTCCGCTACAACAAAGTTTAAAATTAAACACTAGTTTTTGCTTCTGTGACTGAGTAATATATATATATATATATACGGCGTTTCTAGAAATAACACTTAGTTTTAATTTTTTGAATCCCCTGTTGCGTCTTTAATTTTATCCGTTTCGATGTTTAGAGACGTAGTATATGACTATTACTCGAAATGCGACACGAAGTTTTAGTTACCCTAACTTACACGTATTAGGTAAACACCGTATTATAACGAAGTTTGAGTTGCAGTGATTTACACGTATCAGATAAACACTGTATTATGATGAAGTTTGAGTTGCCGTGATTTACACGCATCAGATAAACACCGTATTATAACGAAGTTTTGGTTATCGTGATATACGTGTATAAGGTAAACACCGTATTATAACAATATTTTAGTTTTCGTAATATACGTGTATTAGGTAAACACCATATTATAACAAAGTTTTAGTTATCGTGATATACGTGTATTAGGTAAACACCGTATGATAACAAAGTTTTGGTTATCGTGATATACGTGTATTAGGTAAACACCGTATGATAACAAAGTTTTAGTTATCGTGATATACGTGTATTAGGTAAACACCGTATGATAACAAAGTTTTAGTTATCGTGATATACGTGTATTAGGTAAACACCGTATGATAACAAAGTTTTGGTTATCGTGATATACGTGTATTAGGTAAACACCGTATTATAACAGAGTTTTGGTTATCGCGATATATTCTTAGACAGCCTCAGTTTTTCCTGTTTTATACAATAACTCGCCTGAGCCTTCTTCCCTAACTAAATAAATTCATAGTACTAAAAGCGAACATCTTTGTGTCCTCCTGCACGCTTCTGAACTAACATTGTCCTAGCGGTTCTTTAGTGGATACGGTTTTTATCTGGCTATGATAGATGTATTGTACCAAGCTTCTGCCTCTGTGGCCGGAAGTTTCAAGCTCTCGTATCTTCAGATGGTACCAAAGAACCGATTTCATTATTCAACCATCACTGCTCAGTCGGATCCCTTAGTCTCCTGATATGACGCTACAAAAGTTGGTACCTGTCATACAAAAAAAAGTCATAAACATTATTCTTTAGCCTCATTGAACTTTCATGAAGTAACACGTGCTCTTCAGTGAGATCAGTCAAAAATGGACTTGAACTTGTTAGCCGAATCCATCATCTCAACTCACACTCCTACTCCACTTTATCTGTAGAAGGTGTACGAGAGAGAGAGTCGTTGGTCTTCTTGAAAGAAATATGCTAATTCTATTTGAAATTTTCGAGAATTGAATATAAAAGATGTTAGCATACGAATAAAAGTTTTGAAGTAATATTTTCTTTACAAAAAAATAAAACGTTTTCACCATATGCAAGAGAAAATACAAATGACCACGTAGATGGCATCTTACTATTTGTGAAACCAATAACAACAAGTTAAATAATTGATCTTGTAAAAAAAAACAAATAAATACCAAAGTTGGACTGGAAAATATGTCTTCATTAGTTATATAAAATATGATGACTAGAGGGAAGGCAGCTAGTCATCACCACCCACCGCCAACTCATGGGCTACTCTTTTACCAACGAATAGTGGGATTGACCATCACATAATAACGCCCTCACAGCTGAAAGGGCGAGCATGTTTGGTGTGACGGGGATTCGACCCCGCGACCCTCAGATTACGAGTCGAGCGCCCTAACCACCTGGCCATGCCTGGCCTAGTTTATTTGAAAAAGACAAAAATAATACCAATATTTAAAAATGGAAATAAAATATAAATTAGTACTTATAGCAAATAATTATGATGTACATATTCTAAAAAAGTATCAAAAAGCTAATTTACTGAACACTTTAGGATTTTATTGATAAATTTGATTTATTGTCTGAATGTTTGTTTTTTCTAAGGACAAACGTACAAAACATGATATTCAAACATTATCAATAAAATGTAAAATAAGTGAATTTGCCAAAGCAGTGTTTTTACATTTATTCAAAGTATTTGATTGTGTAAATCATAAGTTATTGTTAAAAAAATATACATACACTATGGGAACATGAGGTAAAAATGTATATTTGGTTGGAGAGATATTTAAATAGCAGAATTTAATTAGCTAGTATCAGTAATAAACATTTTACTGAATTAATAAATACAAGGCACTACTCTGGAACCACTGTTGCTTTTATTGTATGTTAACGACGTACCAGATTTATTATCTGATATAAAGCACATTGTATTTTCAAATGACACTGCAATTTTAGCTCATAATAAGAATTTAGGGTTTTTAGTTCAAGTGGTTAATTTGTCAGTAGATACGTTACATTATAGGCTTAGTGATATTGATTTATTAGGCTTAGTGATAGTGATTTGTTAGGCTTAGTGATAATGATTCGTTTTTAGATCTGAAGAGATTAAATTAATACTTTTTAACAATGAAAATAAAAATACTACTTTACAATACATATTAATATTTTCAATTCAACAATACATACTTCCAAAACTGTTTACAACAATACCATTCGTCATATAAGACAACCTAATAGTATGAGCACTGAATAAATAATAATAAATAATTAATAAATTAAATAATAAATAAATAAGTAAAGACCGTGTTACAATTGAATTAGGCTCAGGGTTATTATTAAAATTATATACATATATATTTTATATATATATATATATTGTTTATTTAAAGCATTTAAGAGCGTATTGCACGCACGTTGCAATCTACAATACAGCGCAAACCCAGTTGATATGATGTTGCCTGCTAATCACAATAAATTATTTTAATTTCTGTTGCATAACACATAATATTTGGTTTATTGTTCAATAACACATGAACTTTATATCTGTTTTTCTGATGACACATTTCCTTTAGTTGTTTTTTAACACAGGAAACTCTTACAAAACACTGCTATTTCAGGCCTCCGTTTTGACCATATACCCCGCTGGGCAGAGCGAAGATAGCCCATTAAGAAACCAACCCGTTCATTAGCACGTAAGGTGTACATGTAACTAGTTTCAATAAACCATTCGTATTTTGTTACCTTTCCTTCGAAACGTGTATGATATATATAACATTCTCAGTTCTGACTTGCACATTTATACATTGCGCTTTGTATCGGTCATGGTCCGTTACGTAGATATGCACTTCGAACTGACTTTAACCTTTGGGTAGTCATTTAATCGTTGTTTTGTTTTTCCTTTTCACGTTAGAGAAACTAGTATTCCAAATAAAAACTCGCGTTCAATCGCTTCTTTATTTCCCAGGTTTAAATACGTTAGTTGGCATTCAAGGCATTCGCGAAGTTTTTCTAAATGAAGCTTCGTTATAGTTGAAAGTCGTTTATGGCTGAAACTCCTAAGCAGAAATATTGCTTGACTCCCTTGGCTTTAATCTAGAGTAACCATTAGCACAATCAAATATTCTGTCTTATCTCT